TAACCAACAAAATTTATAGACAAAGATAGATTTATTAACTCAGATAATACTCAAAAGAATAACACAGATAAAACAAAAATCTCTAATGTACAATAGTAAATATGGTGATGCAGTCTAATTGATAGTATAGTTCAAGGATAGTAACATCTAGAGGAAAGTAAATTTAATGGGGAGTACTGCTTATGGTTACACAAATATAAAATTACGAAATATTCTGAAGTTCTATATAAAATAGACTTTTAAATTAATATAATAAATAATTTAAATATCTTTAAATCAAAGCTACTTATTAACTGTCAAAATAACTCACGTATAAACTTTGTGACGACTTACTATCGAAGCTTTTTTATCAAACTTTGCAACTTATTTTTTAAAATAAAGGTTTAATTTTATAAAAAATTACATCAGCAATCAGAATCACAATCTTAAATATAATGAACAATCAGTGAAAGGCAAGCACTGCTTTAAAATAAATTTTTTTAACGTTAAGAATATAAATAATGATTTAATTAATTTTTAGCGTAAAGAATCATACTCTATTAAAATAAATTCTCAAGAAAATTCGTTAACAACTTCAAAAAAAATTTGCAAACAATCCGAAGCTCTTCAGGAACTTGTATCTCGATATCCTGATCTTAAAGGAAAATCAGTTTGGTTTTTTCCAGATCAAACAAAATCGGTAGAAGGACTTATTTTATTCAATACTTCCAAAAAATTATATATGATTCAAGATAACAAACTAGATAAAGATTTTGATTCATTTTCAAAATGGATAAAAGCATTAAAAACATCAAGAAAATTATATAAAAGAAATCGATCAGCTCTTGCATCAATATTTTTAGAAAATAATTGTTCGAGTAAAAATATAGGACAAATGTTAAAAGGTAAAGAATATCAATCATATTGGAAAAGTTCATCATCTTTAAACTTTACAATTATAACAAAAACTTTACAAGAAATGATTATACCGGGTAAAGAATTTCCTGGAACAGCTATTCTAAAAAAAGAAAACGAATTAAAATTATTCTTTATTGAACAACTGAAAAAAAAAGAATTATATATAATTTTTTCCCGTCTATGTATATTTGACTTTAAAATTATAGCACTTAAAAAACCAGTTTCAATAACTATATTACCACCTACTTTATTAACTATATCTGCAATAATAGATATATTAAATTTAGTAAAATTTATGTTTAATACAAAAACATGTTGTGGTCTAAAAACTGAAGGTAAATATATACATTATCATTTTATTTTAATAAATTTTATTAACCTAAACTTAATTAAAAGGATTCAATGATATAATTCGATTGCATGGAAATAAAATAATGAGTAACAAATTAAATGAAAATCAATATCATAACGTAATTGCAACTTTAAAAGATCAAGGATTACCTACAGAATGCTATTGTCGAGAGGATTGTCTTCTTATTGAAAAAGATGGAAAAACATGTATAATTTGTACAAAATTATACAAAACCCTAATTCAAATTAAAAGAAGAGCAATAAAAGGAGTTCAATCTGTAAAAACAGCTCATGCATCAGACGAATTGCTTACACAACATATAAAAGAAACTTGTAAGGTAATTTTGGTAACTTTTTTACATATTGTAATATAATCAATTTTATTAGTAGATATTTTATTAGTTAAATTTATATTATTATACTTTATTAGTAAATT